CGCCCCGCTTTGAGGAGGGTCGTTAAATGCTTAACTATTGCGTCGCTCGTTTGGGGTCGTTTGGGTTTCAGGTCCCCCTTCTCTTTCCGTTCCTTTATTTTGGTGTAGAAATAGGATTACGCTGGTAATGAGACTCCAGACTCTAGACCCTAGATAATGCTTAATGCTTGGAATGTAGATTGGATTGGTGCCTGGGGGATGACCAATAAAGTGAATTAGTGGCCCAGAGACAAAGAGCCCAGATATTCAATGTTTCTACTCCGGGCGGCAACCGCCTTCTGCAGCTGAAGAAACCCCCCGTTGTTTCTTTGTCGGGGTTTTCGCAATCTAAATAATTTACCACAGGCAAACAGCAAGCACTTGCCTCTTGTGGCATAGCACACACACACACACACCCACACACACAAAATAAACACTTGGTTGCCACTTTTCCTTGACTCTCTTCACCTGCCCACACTTCAAAGTCGAACATGAAAACTTTGCCAATATTCTGACAGCAGTTCCAGTTGCTAGTTTTCAGGTTTTCCGTTTTTCCGCTTCCCTCGGAAAACCAATGCCCTCGCCGGGTCGATCCATTGTCGACCTGCTGACCGCGCTGCTGATGCTCTGCTGATGCTCTGCTGCTGCTCTGTTGCTGCTCTGCTGCCCGACAACCGCACGCATGCTAAAAGTGTGGCCAGAGCCAGCTAAAGTCCGGGGCATTGAGTGGGATTGCTGTGGATGAGGATGCGAAAAGTTGACTCGGGAGTTTGTTGTTCGGTGTGCTGTTGTTTTTGACAGAATATTTTGCAGGCCATCGCACTGCAGCAGTGGAGCGTAGCTGCACTCCACCCAAAGAATGCTGCTGCAGCGGATGTTACCTGAGAGAAGAGGAGTCCCGTCCCCCGCTGGGAGCATTTTCTCAGGCAGCTACGGGGCAGTTATGCAATCACAAAGTTGCCTGCCTTCGTCAGTGATTGAAATTCCTTGGACCGCCATCTTCTCGGGTTCTCGCAATTTTCAGCCTCATCTCAGCAGCAGCAGCTGCTGGATCAGGCTCAGACTCAGGCTCCAAACTTGGATTTGGCTCGTTTTCATTGTAGTCATCATCATTATTGTTGTTGCTATCATTGAATGCATCTATGCGTGTCCTTGTTTCCCTTTCTTTGCAGGTCTTTGCCTGCACAGCTCATCCCTGGGCTCATTGTCGGATGCCAGCAGTATCGTATCCTTCTGGCTATTCTTCTTGTCCATAATTATTGTAGTTGGGATATTTCATGAAATTGGTTGCTGCTGCTGCTGCTTTTGCTTTTGAATTCCCTTTATCATTGGGACTGGCCAATAATATATTTCTGCCATCTACGTGTATTTATTCCAGCATTGCAATTGAGGATTTTTGATTAGTTTTTACTCTCTTGTTGGATGCCTCGTGACGCCGTGAGGAGGCGGCAAGCTTCCTTCCATTGTTGCAGAGCATAGAGGATGGGAATGGGAAGAGAGGATTGAGCTGGCTCTGCCACTATACAGTTTTACATGCACTTTACTTCAAGCATATCTATGCAACATATTAGTTTTTCGCTGCACACTTTCGGGCGGACTTGGATCTACTAGGCCAGCTCTAAAACCTCTGTCTAAGCGGGCGCACTTTAAAATCTGTTGAGTGGCTATGGAAACTGCGAACATATCGATGCCTTCCAGTCTTTGATCTTAAACTGTTGTTGGGCATGGGCATAAATTCTCTCTGCCTCACACACCGGTTGTTGTCCTCAAAAAAAAAAAAATGTTTCCCATTGTCTGTGCTCCCCGTTTCCTCTCCAGAAATGTAGTTGGGAATCCGCTGCTCCTTCGTTTTCCCAATGCAGCAAAGTTATGATTGTTTGCCCTGTTGGCACGTGGCAGACTTCTTTTCCATGGGGCCGGGGCCATCTCTTTGTTGCGGCTGCCTGCTGTCTGCCAGTGCTTGATGCTGCGGAATTGATTGAAAGGAATTCTAGGGTTTCCCTGCTTGTTTGCAGTTGTCGTCGTCGTCGTAGCCAGTGACATGCCCGGAATACGAATTTCTGGCCGACGGAATGTCCGGTCCAGACAAGTGCCAGTGGCAGAGCTCTCCCACACCGTCATTTCTATCACCTTCAGTTCTGATTGTGGATGTGCTCCATACGGGTCCAAGCAATTTGCCTGCCGCACAAATTGTCGCCAATTAGTGGCGTGACTGAAGAATTAGACAACAAAAAAGAAAACATTTTTTTTTATATTTATATATCTCCCCCATATTATATTCTGCATATTTAACTAATTGAAATTTGATAAACTTTTGCCAGGAATTTCGTAAATCACGAAAAAAACCGTTCATAGACTGTGAGTTATAAAGAATTTACGTGCAAAAACTAATTGGCGGTCAAATATGGTTTTGTTTTTCAGACAATTTTCATATTCTTTTTTTCATACAAAATGTTAAAAAGAGCAAAAATAAAAAAAAAACATTTAATGTTCGTAGCTATACTAAAGAAAAAATAGAAAAAATCGATAGATCGCAAATTATAAAGAGTTTGTAATTAAAATTATTTGTCGGTCGGATATGGCTCTTTTTTTAAGGGATTTTCCAAGCATGGGAAAAACTGAAATTTTGGATAGTTATTAGTTAGTTATTATTCAAACTGTGGGAGAATATTTCTTAGTAGCTGTTGAATATATTCCTATCGCATTCGTTGCCGATTTCATTCATCCCTGTGCAACTTTTTTCCACTTTTTGTACGAGAGTAATCTTCTTTATTTTGGCTACCGTTTTGCTGCTTCATCCTGCTCTCGCTCTGTGCACTATCCGTTGTATGCTTTTGACATTTTTGCGTTCATTTTTGTGTGACAAGTCTTCTGTGGTTCACTGGGGCCACTTTGCGGCATGTCAGCCCCATCCGCCACTCAACTCCACCACCTTCTTCCACTCTGGCCAAAGGGTGACGGGGTGACGGCCTATTTCACACTTTTATAGAAAATTTTTGCCAATTGTCTGGCGACGCTTCGACGTACTCGTGGTTAGCCTTTTTTTCCCCTCTCGTTCTCTCACTCTCCTTCACACTTGGGGCGGAAATTTGCGCAATTTTCAAAGCGGAAATGCAATTTTCGGTTCAGCTGCATTTGTCTCGCAATGCCACGCCCCCGTCCCGTGAATCGACCGTGCCGCCCGTTCTCCCTGTCGCCCGTCCGCCAACTTGGGCTGCCTGCCAACACATCGTATATCAAATGCAGAGTTGGCAGCCCCTGACAATGACATGCAGCGAGCAGCAGCCAAACCAGAAAAGGCCGACAGCCTAGTGGGCTCGTGGAATGGGGCTGGAGGAACCTCTGGGTGAGGCCGCCGTCGCCGCCAACTGGGGAAAAAAAAGAAGCAAACTCGAAATCGTCGACATCGCCAATAGCTCCAAGCAATCGTTTGTTGTCCTTGTTCTTGTAGCTGTAGCTGCTGCACCCGTAGTAGTGTGTGTTACGCCTTTTGTGGCCAGATCAGAGAATTTATTTCACACGCTTTTTATGCACAATGAACAGGGTACAGGGAACAGGGAACAGCGAACAGTGAACAGTGAACACACTTGGCCACAACTTTTGCAGCTCTTTCTCTTTGTGCCGTGCCGAGTCCCAAATGCCGAAAGTACTCTTATTTATTTGCATATAAATTATTCAATTGTTCGCCTTTGCTTATCTTTCCCGTTGGCTGCCTCTGACCCCTCCCCCCCCTGACATGCCGTCCCGTAGTGCTCCCTTTTGGGGGAGTCTATCAAAATGCTGAATGCATTTGCAGCTGCAATTGCAATGGCAGTGGAAATTGCAATTTCAATTGATTTTTGGATATCTGTGGGCGTGGCATTGTACAATCTATGATTTATGCTCTGGAATTTGGCAAAAGCTGAATAAAATTTGCTGACATGGCGTGGGAGCTGTGAGCTGTGCAATTGAACTTAAAGAGTGTTCCCCCAGTGATTTATGGCCTGCACAGTGTCAAAAGAAAGTACACATATTTACACAATATATATATATACACTTTAAAGAAGTACAGTCAGCACAATTATCCCATAAGTAATGGTTGTAATGAATCAGCCCAAATACAATCATGCTGGAGTGGCCATCTTTATTTCCTCTATACCCTTTGTGGATGCAATGCACGGCACTCTTCTGGCATCTTGCATGCCGCCATTTCTGCGCCAGAGTTTCCGTTTCCGCTCAACACGTGCGCTAAACGGTTTGTCTGCCCTCTCTCTCTCTACCACCCTTTCTACCCCTCTCTCTCATGTTCCTGTTAAATGTCAAATGTCAGCTGCAGCTTCCGTTGTAGTCATCCGCTGCTGCCGTGACGTGCCTCTCGAGCCGCTGCGCAAACATTTGCTAAGGCCCCCCCGTTTTCTTCCCTTTCCTCCTTTATTATTTTTCCTTCCAAGAGCCTGGCCCCTCCTCAATACAATACTCGACTCGTAACACTCAAACGTGTGAGGCCCAGGGCCCGGGCTTGTCACCAAAAAATATCTTCTAATATCTGCTCGCTGCTGCTGCTGCTGCTGCTGTTGCTGCTCTGCTACATGTGTTGTAAATTTATTAGCTGTCATATAAATCTTTGCACTCGGCCGCCTTTCTTTGAGGACGTGTTGGGACGTGCGCCATCTAACCAGTTGGTCTAATGGGCGTGGCAAAGCCGCCTGTTTGCGTGCAGATAAGGAGGGATCGGTATGGAGAAGGGTTCTTCTCCCTTACCCTTCACCCTCCGGCCAGCGATGGAATTTTTCATTTACATAAATGCTGCCTACTTAAGGAAATTCATAATATTTCTTATGACAGTTTGGTGCTCGCCCTCTGGGTGCCTGTCATTTGTTTAATTGATATTGCACCTACGGCAAAGTGCGGGCCATGTGTACTTTTGCCAACGACAGACGCATGTGTTCTTAGGGGGCGGGGGGGTCCTTGGGGTTCACAAGGCTGAGATTTCCAACGCTACAGGCAGAATAAAATGTTTATTGTTTTATTAAATGCATTATTTTAAATATGTGACATAAATATAAAATATAATAATAATTACTAGAGCTCTATATATTTTGGCACACTTTTCCTCATTTCTACTCCTCCTGCATCTGCTGCCTGGCCTGGGCTGCTCACCGCCTCTCCGCCTCCTCCTCCTGCTTGAGCGGATTCCCTTTGTCGTCTATCTCCATGGACGGCACCAGCGGGGGCTTGAACCCGTACTCCATGTGCAGATTGCGTCCGAAATCGGGACTCCGCTTCAGCGAGTGGCCATTCCGCCAGCGCTGGAATTCGTCGAACTCAATGCCCGTCGCCGCGTCGGATGGCGCATTTGTCGATACGGGCACGGGTCCAATGTACGACTTGACCATCTGGGCGGGCGCCGAGGCAGCGGCAGTGGCCAGATCAGCCGGCAGCGTGTTGTAGATGTAGCGGGCGCCCTGCAGCCAGGGCGAGCCCTGCGGCGGCGGCGGGGGACGCAGATCGAAGCGCATGTCCGCCAGGCTGAAGGTCGCCACTTGGGGAGCCTCGCCTCGCACTGGCTTAACCGGCGGCTTCACGGGAGACTTTACGGGTGTCTTCGTTGCCTTGGACTGGGACTGGGATTGGGACTTGGACGGGGATGGTGACTGGGACGGGGACTGTGTGAGCTGGGGCAGGAGCTTCTTCAGCATGCGGGTGTAGTAGTTCTGCAGCACTTTGGGCGGAATGTGGGCGGCCACCGAGTGCGACCAGGGGTGCAGAGAGTTCGGATGGGAATGGGAATGGTGCCCAAACGAGTGAGCGGAGTGGGGCGGTGGCATCGGCATGTGGATGGCGACGGGCACGTGAATGGGTATGGCCAGGGGTCGGTCCACGAACTTCTCCACGATCTTCTCCACCTGCACGGGACGCTCCACAATGCGCTCCACCTCCACCGGGACGTGCTTCTCCACAATCTTCTCCACCACAGTCTCCACGGGATAGGGCACAGGGTGCTCCACATAGGTGGTCACTGGATAGGGCCGATCCACGTAGTGCTCGACATGGACAGGCACTGGCACCGGCTGGTGAACGGCGTACGGAACGGGTATGTGTCTCTCCACCAACTGCTTGACGGGCCGATCGACATGTTTCTCCACCACATAGGCCTGCGGCACAACCTTCTCCACAACGGCCACCTGTGGCGGAGTGTGGGAGTGCTGCTCCTGCTGATGATGATAATGCTGCGAAGGCTGACCTTCGTGCGGTGGACCAGCAGGCGGGTGAATCGTCTCAAATCGCTGCCCATGCCCTGGGGTCTGATGACCCGTTTCCAGATTGATGTCAGCATGTGAGATGGCCACCTCTTGCCGCGAACTCTCGTGCTCCGCCTGCTCCACGTTGATGGGGTTCGTTGTCAGCGAGGGGTAGCTGTTGCCTGGCGCCGTGGCTGGGGCCGACAGGTGATTGTGCAGGTACGGCTGGTGGTAGATGGTCTCGTGCTGCTCCACCAGGCGGCCGTCCTTCTCCGTGATCAGCTTGTTGTGGATGTTCACGGACTTTTGCACCTCCACGAAGGTGTAGCCATTCGGCTGGCTCTCGGCCTGCTGCTCGTACTTGGGCTGATCGGGGTGTGGGGCGTGCTGGATGTGCTGCTGGGAGGGCTCAGCCGCCGCCTCGTACTCGTGCGGGGCTGGATGATGTACCGTGATCTGAACGCCAGCCTCCTGCGACGCATGAGCAGGCGCTGGCGAGGCTGCAGCTTGCGGAGGTGGTGGCGGAGTGTTTAGGGTCACATAAACCAGACTATTGGGCGTTGGTCCTGCGTAATCTGAGTAATGCTGCACCAGCTCTGGTGGGGACTGCGACTGGGGAGGACCAATTGGCGAGGGTATCGCTTGGGTGTGCAGCTCCTGCTGCTGATATTGCTGCTGCTGCTGCTGCTGCTGTGGCTCTGGGTACTGTGGAGACTGTGGGATACCATGACTGAGTTCCTGTTGGTATGACAACTGGACAGCAGGTCGCACAAAATGGTCGGCATAGTCAGTCTGCTGCGGTGGCCGGGCGTTCGGCAACTGCGCAGGCTGGCTGGCCTCGTAGTGGAAGGTTCCCTTGGCTATCGGCCCATCGCCGCTGCCCGATATGATCGGCTTGAAGCTCTTGAGGAACTGTCGGGATGGCGCCTCCTGCACGGCGGGCAGATTCTGCTGGACCTGGTAATGATCGAGGGACTGCTGGTCCTGCGCCTTGGGCGGCGCTACAGGCCCTTCCGCTCCGGTACCGACTGCCTCTTGTGCCTTGGCCAGGGTATCGTCGTGGACGATGTGCACATTGATCTCCTGCTCCTGGCCGGGTCCCTTTCGGTTCGTGTAGCTCTCGATGCTGTTGTGGTGGGCCGATCCCGATGCTGCCGGCGGGGGCAGCCGCTGCTGGTAATACCCCCGGGCCGCATGTCGGCTCTCTGCTATCTGGTTGTCCTCAAAGTCATGGTCCTCGTCCAGCTCCGCTTCGTGCTCGCCGAGGATGACAATGGGCGCACTCTCGGCCCCCACCAGCGTCTCGTTGTCATCGCTCTCTGGCAGGAGCAGGAGGCTGGGCAGCACGGGGGCCGCCACCGCTGCCCGATTGATGCGCAGCAGCTCGTCCCGCGAGATGTGGTTGCTGCCATCCCGGAAGGGATGCTCCCGCGACGGCTCGCTTCTGGTGATCTTCTCCACCACGATCTCGGTGTGGCCGGGGCTCAGCTCCCGGCGGTACTCCTTGGTGACTGTCGCTTCGTAGCTGAAATACGTTTCGTTCCTCTGGCTGTCCCCTGCCTGGGGACTGGCAGGGACTGTAACTGTGACTGCGTTTGTGGCCTCTGTGGTGATGGCTGTGGCATCAACGGTGGGACGCACCACTGCTTTGTTGGTGGCTGTGGTGGCTGTGGTGGTCGCCGGCTCTGTGTTTGTGTCCCTGCCGCTGAAGCGGAAGATGTCCGAGAAGCCATTTGGGAACAGATTGGACAGCACCTCGTTGACGGTCTCCGTTCTGGATTGGGTCACGGTCTTCTCAACGGGTCTCCGGCGACGGACAGCCTCCACGGGCATCTCATCGTTGACCTCGAACTGAATGTAGCCGTGGCCGTTGGTTGGCGGTGGCAGCACAGTGGGCAGGAAGCCCGGCACTCTGTGTGGAGTAGGGAAAGGGAAACGATTTGATGGCTATTCCCCTTCTAAGCCTGCCCTCCCCAGACTTACCCCACGAACTCCTCCGGCTTTTCTGTGGTTGCAGTGGCTGTGGCTCTGTCTGTGGCTGTAGTGACTGTGGCAGAGTCCTCCTCCACCTCATCCACCTCACTGCCGTAGTTGAGATCTTCAATGACCTCCAGCGCTCCTGTCTCGGCTGCCTGCTTATTAAGCTGTCAAAAGCGACGCTCATTGCCTGTCAAAATCTTTCACTAAGCTCGGATGGACTCACCTCCTTGGCGCTGTCACTCAGGGCCTCGTCATCGTTCTCCAGTCGCAGCACCCGCACCACTCCTCCTCCCTCCATCCCCATTGTCACATTCTGCGGAGGCGTGGCAGGCTGCAGAGGCAGTGGCTGTGTCTGTGGCTGTGGCAGGTTGCTGGTGGAACTAGTTGGGTCGGCGGATGCCGAGAGAGTCGGCTGGATGCTGGCCAGCATCGAGCAAATGCCAAAGAGAGTCGCTGCTAGCAGCGGTTTCTGTTGTTGCTTCTGCCACATGGCGCTGCTGCTGGATGGAAATTGCGGAAATGAAAATGCAAAGTGTTGAGTGGCGGCTCTCTCATGGGGCATGGGGTATGGGGTATGTTATAGGTATGGTATGGCAGTGTGAATAACCCCGCATGACAAATTCCAAACAACAAATAAAAAGCCAAAACGAAACATTTGACGGCCACACGAGGATGCCGAAGTCGTCAAGCCTGTTTTGGGCCCACTCCAGCTGCCCAGCTTCACAGCTTGCCAGCTTGCCAGCTTCCCAGCCTCCTCCAAAAGGCACTCCACTCGATATGCCACATCGCTTCTCTCGCCTGGCCAGCACTCACTTGTCCGGGCTGTGTTTGATTTTAGCCGATAGCCGAGGCTTATGATGATTTTTCCTAAGTGGCTTGGGCTGCCTTGGCATTTCCATTTTGGCGCTTTTCTTTCTCTTTCGCTGTGAGATTTTCCCTAAACGTCGCGCGTTGCCTGTCGCTCGCTCGCTCGTGCCGGTGGTCGGTCGCCGGTCGTGGCCAGACAGACCCAAGTTGTTGAACTTGGCGGCATTTGCTTTGGGCTTATGTCATTGCTACTGGCAACGTAATGAATTATTAATCATCCCCTCCGGGCAGGCTACGCATTTAATTTGGAAAATTGAAATTGATGGCGTTTAAAATGATTCGTACGGGTTTTCACATAGTTTTGCGCATGCAGCCGCTTCTCCCTCTCCCTCTGCCCCTGCCCCTGCCCCTGCCGTAGCTGTATTTTGATGTGCATTAAATATGCATGCCAAAACATATTTCACTTGTAATATTCATGGCTTTCCAGGCCTAAGTGCTCCGAGCTGCTTTGGGGTGCCCCATACCCCCGGCTACCCCTGGTTAAGTGGTGTCTGTGGTGGTCTGGTGTCTGTTCAAGAAAGTGAGGCGGCTTTACATGTTAAATTTCTACATTAATTGCGGTTGGATCATTATCTTAACTCAGACACTGAATGGGGGGACACATTTTGGCCTGGTTTGGCACTACAAACAGATATCATATCGCATTTATGAAAAGTCCTTTCGTTCACAAACAATATGCTCAATTGCTGCCAGTCCATCGTCCGATTATGCGTATCATGCATATCAATTTTGAAACAATTTAAATTTTCCACCACTGCCACCACTTAAATTGCATTTAAAATGTTTTCTTCTATTTGAATACACATTTATTTACCTGCATCCATGAAGTATAACGCGATGCGGCTGGGAATGGGGGGCTTGGGAATGCAGCGCAATGAAAAACAACACTCAATTATTTATATTGATTGCCGGCCAATTAAAAAGCACTTTTAATCACTTTTCTATTCGATTATTCGACAATTGTAATTAGTGTGGCAAATAAAATTGGTTTGGTTTGTTTTGGTTTGCTCTCTGCTCTGCTCTGCTCTGCTGTTCTCTGAGCATCTGAATGGCACAGCAGTTGGGGGAATCGGAATCGCTTCTCTTTTTGGTTTTGTCCGCTCTGTTCACTCGAACTCTCGATGATGGCTGTGCGACCCTGACAGCTGCGCGTGCGCGTTGCGAATGAAAGTGAAACCGTCGGTGCCTGGGCATTTCGTTTTCTTTTCGTCGATGTCTCGTCGTGGGTTGTTGCATGTTGCTTGTTGGTTGGTTGTCGCTGTTGTCGCTGCTGCGGCAGCTTCGGCTGCTGCTGCTGCTGCTGCTGCTGCTGGTGATCCTTAAAGTGTAGCATAAAACTTGTCCAGCCAGCGATTGCGCAAGCGCAGCCATCCCCCCTCTCTCTCTATCTCTCTCTCTCTCCCCCGCTATCCCCTTCAAGGCAATGACAATTTTATTTTTATGGCTTTCTACAGCTAGCAGCAGCAGCAGCATTGACCTGCCAAAAACCATGCGCGGGAAAACTTTGCAACAGGTTTTGCCTGGCCAATTGTGTGGAAATGAGCATGGGCCATGGGCCATGGGCCATGGGGCATGGGCATTTAGTCTCTGTGCTCAGCATGCCTCCCTACCTGCAAGAGAAAGCCCTTTGGCTATGCGCTCCCCTCAAGTTGACACAAAAATATCCACAGCCGTTTCCTTGCCTCATAACGATTATAGCATTCGTCTCGGCACCTGTCAACAGGTGTCGTCGGTTCGATCACCTTCGATCGCATTGTTTTCACAAGTTGCAGTTTTTCTTTCTTTCTTTCTTGCCGCAGATATTTTCATTCAATTTTAATGAGGCGGCGGCAATCGATGGCTTTTTTTCCGTGGGTAGCGTTTGACGTTTACTGATTGATTCATGTGGATGCGGTTTTGCGGCAAGAGGCAGGCGGCGTTTTTTTCTCTCACTCTTTTGCTTCTTTCTGATTTATTAAAATTCAATTTTTTATTTCGCATTTTATTTATGCTTTGGTAATTCATTTTATTTATTGCATATTTAATGATATCGTATCGCCCGCCGGCCTTTTTTCTGTCTTTTTTTCTGTGCAAATTATTGGAGTTAATGGAGGATTTTGTTGTTAAATTTAAAGCATTCAATCAATGGAATTTATTAATTATCAACTTTAGAATAACAAAATAACATTACATACGGCTTAAAATGTACAAAATATAATTAAAATAAAACTAAAAAGAGGGAAAGCTACGCAAGTTCTACCCAAGCTGAAAGCTGCACAGATCATGAGTTTCTTAATCACTGGCTTGCCTTATCTGCGTGCATCTCATTATAGACATGTGGCATGCCTCATGCACACACACATACACACAGACACAGACACTTCGCTTTCACCACTTGCCTGGTGGCAGTGGCAGAGCTAATGCTCTGATCTTTTTTGGATGGCATTTCCCCTGACGCTTTCCGCAGAGACAATTACGAGAAGAAAAACTAACTGCCGAGTGCCAGAGATTGCATAAGCCGGGCGGGGGATGGGGATGGGAGACATACCAAATCAAGGCGAGCCAAGCCAAAGTAAGTCAAGACGAGCCAATGCAAAAAAAACCCCAGGCGACACACAGTTTTCTTCCAAGGAAATGCGAGTCATAAACTGTCAGCTGCTTGCCTTGGAAATGCCGCGGCGCCGTGGCTAATTTTCGCTACAGAAGTGTAACAAAAGCCGACATTTAGTTGGTCGCCCGGTCACTTTGGCCAGCAATCGACTTCCTTCCGCCCGTATTACAAAATCATCCAAAAGTTGGCAAAGGAAATTGCTGAGATGCCTTGACCGCAGCAGCAGTTGCTCGGCAAAAACATTGGAAATTCGGAATTGGAAAAAAGAAACCTCAGAAATTGCCGACAAAAATCTATGAAAAGCAATTCACTTAATTTCGATGCTGGCATTTCGCATATTCGCTTGTTTCCACGTGTACGTGTATTGTACTTCCCCGAGAGTGCATTCAGACGGAAAGGCGGGTCGTGTTTGGGGTTTGAGTTGCGGCGGGTGGGGTGGGGGGAGGGATGTGCCTGGGGACCGACTGGGGACCGACTGCTAATTAAGTGCACAGAGCAAATGAAATATGAGTGAGAAAGGTAATTACAATCAATGGTGCTGGCCCTGGCCCTGCATCGGTGTGGCGGGGCCACAGACCGAATGGCAATTTCATGCAACAATCAATCAAAAACAATTTTTAATTTTGCGTTAACATTTTTCCTGATTCGCCTTTTTTCGTCCACGGATTGGACTGCCATTTTCGCCCGACTATTCGTATCGGCCTTTAGAGCGCCTCTCTCGTTCGGTTTGATTGTGAAGTAAATTGGAAAATAAAGTTAAAATTAAAATGCATTAATTGAACTGTGAAATTTCATAAAAGCGCATTGGTGGGTGGCTGGGAAATTATTGCCGCGTCCAGTGATGTGCAATGAAAATGGTTTTAATTGTCAGCGTTTTCTGTGCGCTTAAAGTCGGCAAAGATAATTTCGCATGAGTACCTGCTGCCCACCTGCAGGGTAGACAAGACTTACAATAAGCCAACGTGTCGCCAAAGCGTTAACTGATTGATTCTGGCCATCTGCGAATCGAAACGGTGTGTTCATTAAGCGTTGGGCTTGGCCCATAAAGTACTTTATTTTTACAGAATAACTTGAATATTAATTGGGAAAGTATGCTAACTGCAGCACACACAGACATGATGCAGCCTTTGCACTCTTTATTTAAGCTGCCCCAAGTGGCATCATTCGAGGGTGAAGCTCTACCGGTGAGCCAATTCCCTCTAATTGCCGCTAAGCCGATTCCCTCTAAATTCAACAACTGCATTGGCGTTCACAATCTCCCTCGGCTCCAGGTAGAGCCCAAACACCGCATCTGTTCATTTCCATATACAAAATAAATTTGCTGTCACGCCCATTTTCCGACTGCATAAAGTCTGCAATTTGATGGCCTGGAGCTGGGGCTGTGGCTGTGGCTGTGGGACTGACTTTGATTCCTCAACGTTGGCGATGGCGCCTATCATAAGCGAATTGAAATATGTGGTCGCGGCTCGGGGTGGAGCCTCCGATTGGCAGTTGGCGGAGCCGGTTTTATCTCTTCTTATTTGGTTTGCCGTTGAGGCAACAATTAAAAAGAAATGCGCACAGTAATGCCAATTGGCAATCGCGGATATCTGTTGGTCGGGTCGGCTGGGGGACGGGTCTGCGGATCGAGGGGATCCATTAGCCGGGGGCACCTTTCGCTTTGGCGCGTGCGTCGACATTGCACCACCCAGCGCCAGGGACATTACAAGTTTATTCCACTCGATCACTGTTTGGGAATTTTGATTGATAAAATACACTGCCCGAAACGGGCTGGCCAGCGTCTGTGAGAATCGTCTAGGAGGGGACGCTGATTTCTCTGAGTGCACTCTCGTGTGTGCCGCACTGTACGGTACGCCCCCGCGCTCTGTAATCTCGCCTGGCGCCTGTACAGATCGCAAACATTTCGCTGTCATTAGCGCCCCGCACAAAACCGCGAAACCGGCCTGGTTATCGATGATTGTGGCCTGGCGTTGCCCGTGATGTTGATGTTGTCAGCCTCCAAACAGGTTGCCGGCTGCCAGGCTGCCTGGCTGCCCGGTTGCCATTTCGCGCCATTCGGAGCAACTCTTTAGGCCAAAAACTGTAGCAGCCAGGTCCATACAGGCCGTCCCGATCCTCCGGTGTCGTTGTACTTTTGATTTCCAACTAATAAACATTAACCACAGGCGGCTGCTGCTGCTGTGGCTGCTATTGACAACGCAACTCTGAGATTGGGCCAATGTACGAGAGCCAAACCGGAATCTCCTTCACCCAAAACGAGCCGAGCCTGCGGTCACCCAAAGCTTCACTCACTCATTCACTCACTCGGCTGGCCTTTCCCTTTCGTTGGCCTTTGAATGTGCACAGATGCGGCCTGCCTGCAGTGGCCCCCACCACTGCCACGGAATGCACTTGTCAACTTCATAAGCTTAGCTTAAGCTTAGGTCAGAGTTTTGTTTGAAAGCCTGCAATGTTTTGAATGGCGCAGAAGCATTGAAGGGACCTTTAGTTGGCCTTATACCTTTGCTTATATTGCTGTTATTGGTGCAACGATAATTATTAAATTCTTTATGCCACATTGCAGACTTATATCCAGCGCGTTCGATTAAAAAGTCTCTTCTGTCTCCGTAAACATGGGATACATTTAAAAGTATGTTTTTGTACGACTACAGTCAACTGGTGAACCATTGAAAATTAATTGCTGACTCTTTTGGGGCTACTGTTGCAAACGTTTTTTGTGGCTAAGATGCATCAAAGTTTTGCTACCGTTTGCTGACATGTTCCTTAACTCTTTTCCATATTCGACAATATGGCTGAGCGCAGTCCTCATGCGATACCGCCCCTGGCCCAACCCTTTAAAGAAACTCTCTTTGTGTTGCATTTTCTCCATTTAAATGTTTTATTTTATGTTTGTTTCTCTGTGTTTTGTTTGAGTCTTGGGTCTTGCTCTTTATTTTTGGGTTTTTGGGTTTTAGTATTTTAGTTTAATTTGCATTTTCATTTGCGTTTTCCCTTTGTCATTTGTTTCTTTTCGTTTCGTTTCGCTTTGCTTTATGCTAAATTGGCTATGTTGTTTTGTTGCTTTGTCACTTAAACATGTAAATGTCCTTGGGGGGGTGGAGGGATCTCTCTGTTCATGCTCTCTCCTACCCCCCACCCACCCAAGAACGTTGCTGGCTTAAATGTAACAGTTTGTTCTGACCCTGGCCAATGGATCAAAGTGTTTTTGTGTGTGTGGGGTATGGGTTGTGGGTATACTCTTTTGATTCTGCATATCTGGTGGCTGGGTATAGCTCCACCTCCATCTCCGTCTTCATCCTGGCCTGCTCCGAGGCTTAGTTTAGGGCTAAAAGTGTTTTTTGTTCTGTTCTTTTGGTGGTGATGGTTGCTTACATTTCTCTTTTTTGGGCCAATAACTTCTTTAAACCATTTCTGCTTATTGTAACACGTATTTTTGTATTTGTATTTTTATTTTTATTATTTATTTGCATTTTTGTTTTTCGTTTTTTTTCTTTTTATTTTAATTTGTTTGCATACTCTTTGTGTGCTGCTTTCTGCCTTAACAACATTCTGCCCTCCCACACATTTGAATTAATCATTATACATTAAAATTAATTTGCCACATTTTTTTTGGTTGTTGCACTTAGACTCTAGGTTGTTTTTTTTCCGCTATTCAGTTTAGTTTTGTTCTGTGTTTTTTTTTTTGTGTGTGTCTGTTTGCTTCCCCTCCTCTATGTTTGTTTGCTTTGTTGGCAATGTTATAAATAATATTTTTCAAATATTACCTAATGAGTAATGAGTCGCAAATGAGTCCATTCATTTGGTTAGTGAGTATGTTATTTTGTAAGTTAACATGTCGACGTGTTTGCTTTGCTTTTGCTTGTGCAATCGGCAAATGTTCGCTTGATAAAAACGAAAAATCGAAAAAAAAATCAAATCGCTTAACTCAACTTTACACATGGCACACATACAGCTAGGCATATGGGCATAATCGTAGATATACATACATATATGTATATAGTAGTATATATTCATTCATATTTAGGCATAGTCCAATCTAAAATAATATAACTCTTTGCTGGAATTCTTGGAACTCTGCAAATGGTGTCTTAAATTGGCGTTAGGTTCTTCTAAGTATATTGTTGTTGTATCTTGTTTTTACACTGATCTCTTAGCCTATGGATATATATAGTATTTATTATAGATATATATATATATATATATATATATATATTTGTATTTGTATGCATATGTAGTTTGCGCATAGGATAATGAATGCATTTTTGGCTTAGATCGTCTATGAAATAAATTACAAAAGCTTTTCGGGCTCTATACAAAGCCCCATCTCTGGCACGCAAAACATGTTGTTTGCCGGCTCGCAATGGAGGCTCAACTGAAATATTTTACAATAGCGGGGGATAATTGAAATGTGTCTTGTTTTTCCTTTTCGTTTCGTTTCGTTTTGTTTCTTTTCTTTTATAATACATCCATATTTTGTTTCGGCAGATATTTATTTGGGGAATGCTACTTGTAGCGTATTCGCTTTGGCTTACTGCGTTCAAACAACATTCCATTAAACACTTTCTTAACTATCGCAATGTTCTTTGCTCTTACTGTAGGTTGGGGGGTTATTCATTTGCCTTTCGGTTGAGCAATTGCTACTTTAACATTTATGTACAACTATCGCTTATGTGGAGGGTCTTCATATTTTTTGTTTTAAGATTACACAAATTTTTTTGTGTTTGGTTTTGGTTTTGGTTACAAAAATATCCCTGGCAAGAAACGAAGAGATTTTTGGTCCTTTCAAACTATTTGCGGCATCAAATGAATTAATGGATTAATAATACAAATACATGTGTGAAAATCAGTATTTAGGTAATTATAACTTTTATTTAAATATAACTCTTTTTTGATCGTTCGCTTAATTTTTTTTTTCTCAAAATATCTTACAGTTTCGCTGCCGCGGGGGCAAACAGTTCAAATGGAAGGAATTTGTTCGTGCCTGGTATGTTGTCCATCGTCTTTCGTCATTTACAATATTAAACTATAGGTTAATTCACCGCCCTCTGCCCATACACACATACATACATGTGTATTTAGGTTCTAAACATTTTCAAAATATTTAACAAAATCAGTCGCTTTGCGAGAGCACTCGCCGATGATCTCTTTGCCGCTCGTTGATCTTCGGTTCGCTTACGTTATCGGTTTCGGTTTCGATCTCCCTTGAAAAGGAACTTAAAGTATTCGTAATAACCAACTGTTAACAATGTTTTTTCTTTTCTTTTTTGTTTATCCAAAATAATGGCATGATTTTTCATTCATTAATTTTGTTTTTTTTGGCCTTTATCTTTTACGCGCACACACACATACATATACACATTGACATTGACATGCACCGATACAGTTACAGTTACAGCTACAGTTACTGTTACAACATCTACATTTAGGGGCTTACAGTAAAAATATTCGAGTAGTTTAGGTGTGAAAAGTCGCCTCACCGCTGGGGGGCTGGCCAACAATTGGGTAGAAGCAGGCTAAATGTGGATGGGTGGGGCGTGGGGGTGGCCTTAGTCTCTAGGCCCTAGGGCAATTTTGATGCTTGGCTAGATCGGCTACAGATACAGTTACAGTTAAAGTTACAGATACACATACACATAGCTATATGGAGTACACATATATAGAGTAGTAGTTGCGTGGCATAGTCCACATGGTAATATGAATCGATTAATTGGGCAGGCAGGCAGATCCACATACGAGTGCGGGTATGCATGCGCCTAGTGGTAGTTAGTGGGGTTAGATTACATAGAGTTTGGTTGGTTGGTTGAATGAACGAGTCAGGCCCTCCAAAAACAAAGCACTCACTCTGCATTCACATTCACATTCGCATTCACTCACACACACGCACTCACTCCATTACACACACCCACTTAAAGTAAATGGCATCTGAGCAGATTCAAATTGAAAATAGCCAGAGCCAGAGCTAGGGTTAGTGCGACGGCTGCACTGCCTCCACGGAACGTGTCGTTGGCGCTGTTGCTGTTGAAGACGGGAAAATGAATCTGCTCGGGCTGGTTGAGCTCCTCCTCCTCGTCGTCGGCATCGATGGCATTGGACATCGTGCGGTGGCGCTTGGTGAAGTTCACATTGAAGATGGCCTCGGCCACGCCACCCGGAGACGAGACAATGAAGTAGAAGGTGCGTGGCACCCGCTCGTGCATGCTGACGTAGGTGAGGCGCGCCTCCTTGCAGTAGGGCGTGGGCAGATCCTGCGGCAGACAAAAAAGATAGGATTAGTTGCATCCCAGGGCCTGCTGGACCGGCAGTGTGACTCACCTTCACCGAGTAGGCCAGAACGGTGCTGCCGTATTGGTTGCCGGGCGTGAAGACGCGATCACCGTGCAGCCAGCGGGCGGCATGGGCCGGCGGATTGGCACAGAACTCCACATTTAGGTGCAAGGGGGAGCCCGGATAGGCGATGGGCGTGGCATTCAGGGCCGTCGCTGTGGGGGAGCCTGCAAATGGGAAAACGGGAGAAGTCCTCCGGATTAGTATGGGGACAAACTTTTGTTCATCTAAGTTCGTTAGGCAGCCCCTGAGAACTTTCTTCGGCCCAAGGACACACGGAGATTCGTTAAGTAAACTTCCCTAAGACCCGGCTCCGTCGCACTTCACACATGCTAAGCCAATTCCAGCCCAACTGTACTCAAACCGAGACACTCATCCCGCTCTCCTGCTCCTGCACAGAGCTGTAGCCCAAGTTGTAGCCCAAGTTGGTTTCGTTTCGTTTCGTTTCGCCTCGCATCAGCTGCAATTAAAGCCTTGGCGAAAAGTTTGCTGCCACCTCCATATACAGCGGCATCTCTATAGCTCCTTAGCCATTGCCTTCGCCACTAATTAAAAGCGTATCACCCGACAAATGTGCCACTTACTGCCGTGGCTTCCCTTATCTCATCCCCTACCATCCCATACCATCCTATCCCCACCTTGCCAGCAGTAAGCAGCGGCAATGCGAGTGCACAAATGTTTGGCAACGCTGAAAAAATCAAAATAAATAGAGAACAACATGTCGAGGGAGGAGGGCGGATACTGCCAAGAGCGAAACTTTTTAAGAACGCCAAAACTTCATTAAAAAGTTTACGCCAAAGCGAATTCTCTGGATGGATCGTATGTGGATGAAGCATGTGATGTGCTGAGGGGAGCGGAACGGAGCTGCTGAGGATTATCTTATCGCTGCGAGAGTCTTGCAAAGCGAAGCAGTGCAGGCAGCCTGACGACGTTAGCCAACACTAACGTGACAATCCAATTAGCCACATGTGCTGTCTCTCTCCCCTGTACTCCAACTCTGCCTCTCGCTCTAACATTTTGCATGGCGCCGCCTTTGTGGGTGGGAATATTTAATTATCGAGAGGCTTGAAAATTTTGCAATTTTCCTCATCATTGCCTTGTGACAGAGATCGAAATAGTAGCGAGTGCCGATACTGATAGAGAGAGAGGGAGAGAGAGAAACTTGGGCCGCAATGGCCGACCCTGGCAAACAAAATGGTGAAATGTGTTAAGTGCAAATGGGTGTTTGGAGGGGGTGGCAGGGCACAGACGCAGAACGCAGACACAAACAAAAAACCAAAACGAAGAACTCGTTCGACACTCGCAAATTTATAGCCCGAAAAACCCCCTTTCCGGTGGTCGACAAGGGAACAAACGATTGGAATGAGGAATGAGGCAGGGAATGGAAGGCAATGGAAGGGGCTGTTGGGGCGACTAACTGTAAAATCAATTAAAGCAAGTGAGTTCTCGCTTCCTCTCTCACTCACTCTCTCTCTCTCTCGCTCCCTCTCTCAGTCTGCGACTGTCTGCCAAATTATGCGTTCAACGCCATTTTGTACGGCCGTGCGCCTCCCCTTCTCCCCATCCAACAACCGGTGGAAAAAGTGTAATTTATTTGACAGCTAAAAATGATTTTTGCATGGGCTATGGCCAGGCAGGCAGCACCACCACCACCCAACTCCCCCCACCCCTTGAACAACTCCGCTCTCAAAGAGATTTAAATTCTATTTTCATTTGCACTCAGTGAGCCGTGTGCCAGCATTTTAGCACAGAGCCAGAGCTCAGGTGGGGCTGTGGTTGTGCCTCGCAGTTCGGTTGGGCGGGCCGACCGACGACTGTTCGTGGCTGTGCCCCCAAGGTCAGTGCTTGGGTCATTGGTGCGACTTTTAATTTGATTTGGCACCCAGGGGACTAAGGGCGCTAAGCTGAAATGAGTTTTCGAGAGCGTTTCCTTGGGCGGTGGGAACCAGAGACAGACACCCTGGGGAAAGCAAATCAGAGCAGACAAAAAATAAAAACAAAGGTAGATATAAAAATAATACACCCTACCTACAGAATGGCCAGCACACGAGGGTCTCGGGGGTCTCATATGTGAAAGACCGCCGAGAAAAATCACAATTTCTGCGCCACAACATGGGAAAATAAGTGAAAATACGTGAAAATAATCAAAAAGTCGTTTTTTTTTTTGCAGGGCCGAGTGAGGGTAGGGGCCAGTGAAAAGCTGTATTTCCTCAACTAATTGGAGCATCCAAATGAAGGCGAAAATTCAATTACTTTGGGCCATTATTATTTCTGTTTTTCCCAAAGAATCTCCAGTGCGTTTTCTCACAATGTCCGCGTCCATGTCGCAGTAAACAAGCAACAGCGAAACGGGCGAAAAAGGGGGAGAAAGAACTTTCGGCGACGTGCAATCAATGGGGCAAGGTCCGTGAGGTCCTGTTGTTCCGCTCTGCATACTCCGTGGCTCTGGCTCTGGCCAAGCTCATTGTCTCCTTTGGCAAGAGACAGGGAAGGGCAGGGCAGGGCAGTGGCAGGAGCGGGTGGAAAGAGCCGGAGTGGCCGCCAAAGTGTTGCAAAACGTTTTCTACAGTTGTTGCATCACCCTCACCTCTTGGCCAAAGTTTTTCCGCACAAAAGGCAACTACGAAAAATTAAGTTAACTTTTTCGGGCAACGGGAATTGAGTAATTTTCAGCCGTAAAACTTTATTATTTTGGACTGCACTTCTTGCCACCCCACCAAGGACCTGCTGCCCCCAGCCCCACCACCATTGTTGTTGCAACAATTGTAGAACATGCAAAAGTTGTTGCCATTGTTTAAATATTTATTTTTAGCTGTTGCAGCTGTAAATGTTGCCAGCGAAGCTTGTGTACTGCTCAAAAGTGGCCAAAAAACATGCAAATTTCATTGTGAAAACGAAAGGAACCGAGAGGAGTGGAGAAGATTGGAATGGAGTCCTCCTCAGGCGGCAACATAGCAAAGCAACATGTAATTACATAAAGGGAGCAAATTCAGAACACTGAATAGAGGAGAGAAGCAAAGGCAAAGCCATTGGGCTTGGGTTTGGGTGTGCTGCAAGTGTTTACCCACAATGAACCGCTGGGTAAGTCAATTTGGGGCTGACCTTCTGTCGGTACGTTTCAACGTCTTTCTGCCAGGCAATGATCGGCTTAAATTATAAATTTAAAACAATGGACTCTCTCTCCCTCTGTATACGTTATGGTAAATTCGATTCCCACAAGTGGAAATCACACATTTTGATGGGGCGTATTCAAATTCCAACACATGGCCGGCCACACATTCAGCAACTGAGCTAGGGCGCCACTCAAGCCGGGAGGAGAGTGAGTCCCAGACACACAACATGGAAATGCCAATGAAATGAACAGAACGAGGCAGAGGCAGAGGCAGTGGCAGTGAAGTACGACCTGAGAGAGGGAAGAGCAGATTAGAACAGGCAATTACAGGTGAGCGGCATTTAAAGACGCAAACAAGAGCAAAACATGCCCCCAGGGGTCAGGGAATCTCTGGCCACTGCCCAAGCCTCTTAGTATGCAAAAGCCTCGAATGAAGGCCCAGATGGTGAGCCAGTGGACAGAGGCACTGAGATAACAGGCAGTCCGACAGGCAGCAAGTGAAAATAACAATCATAATATTCAATTATGCAACGGTTGCCCGAGGAACAGCACGGAGGCGTCCGAGCTGGACTCGAGAGTAGAAGCTGAAGAACCAAAACAAGAAACAGAAACAGAGCTCGCCGTCCGTCCATGCTCTGTTGTTGCTGAATAATTAATAAACATTGTGTGCACTTAATGCAAAAAGCTGCAAATAAAATTACCAACGAGACAAAAGGACATTCCACAGCAGAGCAGGGGAGCAGTGGAGCAGAGGAGCAAGCGCTCCAATTGAAATTACGTGCTCTGGCTGGGCAATCAAAGAGGGATTAGCGATTCGTTTTGTTTTTGCTCTTAGCTGTCCCCCTACATTTGTCACCTGCTCGTTGGGGTGGGACTGGCACTGGCACTGGCACTGGTCCTCCTTTGGGCCGTTTTAATTGAATTTATTGTCAGCGCGAGCAGCGCTGAATTATTGATGGACGCGATGACAGGTCGGTGCGATGCTTTCAAGATTTGTCTTAAGTTTTGCCAACTTTTTGGCCCGCCAGCCTAAGCGGACCAAAGTGCTCAAATATTAATGAGGGCAGCCAAAGGGTGAGCTTTTGCGGTTTACTTTGGCTTCGGTTTGGGTTGGGGTTGGTGTTGGGGTTCGGGTTCCTCATTTCTTTTTAAGTCCAGGCACGCATTTTAGTGGCGTGGCGGCTTAAGGCGAGTCGCTTGCGGCAATGGATCGACGGACTTGCCACACATTTGTGTACCACTGCCAGAGGCACTGTTCAAAGCGCAATCTTTAAGAGTAATTCCACTTCAAAGTCAATTGCTTGCGGGGCAAAAAGATTGCACTGGAAATGGAGAGAGAGAGAGAGCCTGAGAAAGCTGCAGCTCATTGCTGTCGTACAGGTGACCAAACAAACTTTGATATCTCCACCATACACACACACACAAACACATAGATAGATACGTGTACATGTACGTTGCGGTGACCTTTAAGTGCCATGCCATGAGAGATGAATATAAAAGGATGTACATAAACGCTCGTAGAGTCACGGCTGAGGTAAAGTGCAGTTGCTAGGGGGGTTGTAAAAAGTGACAAAGTTATCCCAGCCAGGCTGAGCTATCTCCCTCTCTCTCTCTGTCTCACTTTCTGTCCTCTATTCAGACTTTGTGTGTGTGTAAATATCTCTAACCCAAATCTTGAAAATTTACAAAGAGCGCTTTCATTGGAAACGAACTGCATCGAGCATCCCCACCTGCCACCGCCGATGGCATCCTAATGCCATCCTGGCAGACCTGGCCTCGTCCTTGTTTTGCCGCTGTCAACACAAATTAAGCTGCCATGTAAAGCTAAATGAAAGTCTCTGGCTCTGGTTCTGGTTCTGGCCCCCTCCCTAGTTAACGTATTTAAATATGCTCTTTCACTTTCAATACCAAATGAGTGGCTGGCTGGCTGCCTGGCTGCCTGGCTGCTGCTGTTGGTTGGCAACTTTTGCCTGGCAGCGCGCAAGATTGCAGCATGCAGATACGAATGGATCCATAGATACTCTCGCACTCACGCTCCACGAGCAAAGTTTGGCA